TTAAAAGAGGATAAAATCTTCAGCATGCAGGGGCGATTGCAAGCAAAGTTCAGCTCGATCCTTATTAAACCCGCTTAAAATGCAACAGAGTAATAAATTAGAACTTCTTGTTTTTCATTTCTCCCTATGTTGGCGTGTTTGATGACAGCGTCACGTATTTGTGACGTCCGATTTCCCATCTCAGGCCAGCTGGTAAGCACTAAATTGCTCGCCACAAACTGGTTGATGAATTTAAAACAGCGAAGGCAGCACTTTTTGTCTGAGGATAAATCTATTTGTTTGGTCTTGGGGGAGCGCTGTCATCTTGGCGCAATAAATCTTCGGAGTAGTGACGGTCGATTTACCGCCGATCCCTTGGCGGTGCAATTGCTGGACGCCAATGTTGGAGATGCTGGGGCTCAGCCTAAAGTGTTACGCTCATTTCCAATTTTTGTTATCTGAATATTTCTGAAAGTTTTACTGCACCTCAGCCAAACTCACCCGAAACACATCTGGGAATTTTGGTTTAACTTTTTTGCTTTGGAATTGGCAAGGTGGTTTTTCACCCATCCATGATTCCATCGGTAGGCTTATCTCTTTAGCAAATGAAATCAGCTAATACAAAGGAGAAATTCCAGTGGGGAGAAAGGATGATATCATGAAATTAATTTTCTTTCCAAGAATTGTTTAATTCGGGGATATCAATAATGATATTATTTGAGAGTAAGGTTAGCTACTAACTGTACGAGGTAAATTAAAAGTGAAATTGTAGGTAACGCAGTTCAGATTCTTATTCACAGATGGCCAACTTTTAAATAGAAATGTCATTGGACGAGATCATCACTGATAATTTGGCAGATAAATTTATTTCTAATGAAATAGCCTGTTACAAATTAAGACAACAACTAGTAAAAGAAGAATCTCAGAGAGCCAGTCTAACTTACAGTCGCATACGTTTGTGTGCTTCTGCCGCATCTCTCTCTCCTTCACGTAGCTCTGTAGCACCTGACCGCCGGAAAAACTCGGTCCATGTTTGGGTCCACTTCCCCTTCCCCCGACGGCACCTGACAGCGGTGCCGAGTCGTTCAACCTTAAGTGCAGCACCAACTTTTTCACCATTGCACACAACCGCTTGTATCGCCTGTAGGGGTCCAGCATCATAGCTTCTTTGCTCTCTTTGTACTCCTCTCCAAAGTTCTGAGCAAATCCTTTCAGCCTCTTCCACTCCGCATAAAGTTCGTCGTTCTCCATCGCCAGCTGCATGTATTTTGGACGGTTTGGGTCGCCGATAGCGGCTCGTAGGAAACCCTTTGTTGGCCCCTCGTCTCTAAACACTCGAGACATGCGTCGAAAGTTGTTAGCTGCAAAGCTAGCGCTTCGAAGAAGGCTGGAGCCAACGGACCCGTCCAGACTGCTAGAATCGGGTTCAAAGGCTGAGGAATGGGGTCGTAGACTGCTGGGAGTGTTTGTTGGCAGAACGGAACGTCTGCGTTCTTCATTACAATTCGGTGTGACCACAAGTGAAGACATTTTTCTGTGTGTTAATGTGTGCGTGAGTGAAATGGGGTTGATGTCCCCTCCTGGCCGAGATTTACTTGTCTTTGGTTGACCAATCACGTGCAATCGTTGAGTGTCATTGGTTGTATTTGAGTAGCAACGTGACACAGAACCAATAAGGTCTGAAGGTTAACGAATCGAATGGCAATTTCGTTGCTGAATTGTGTATATTCCATGCAGTTGCGTGTGGAGGTGCATTGACATTTGTCATTCTTTAAATAATATACTCATTTTTCCCTTAAGGGAAGCCGTTCTTTTTGAGTACGATTTGGAATTTGGGTTTCAAAATACAAATCTTAAATGTGGACGTAGACTCATTGCAAAAAGCCCTAATTCGTGGATTTCGAAACCCCTTTTCCAAAAGAACTAAGAAGTATTAAATTAGTCCTTTATTGGTAATGCAGGATTAACGCTTTTAAATCGGGTTAAAGATACCCAATTGATAGTGTTAAGGTTGCAAAATAAAGTATTTGAGGTCCGCTTTTGAAGAGATATGCAATATGTTGGTTGGTTAACCCTCTGTTTTTGAAAAAGAGCCACTTTGTTTCATGGCTATCTTACCTCGCAGAGTGGCCCGACGTCCCAGCCACGCCTGTCGCCCCTACGACTTGTCGAAGTTATAGGGTGCTACAATGGTGGCAGTGAAAAGCG